ATCAAAATGTTTATTTTGAAAAGAACATTATAGGAAAATTATTAATTTTTTGCAATTCCTAAAATTTCATATCGGTATCAACATTGATCCTCAGACTTTGTATATGTTGAATTGTCTATCAACATTGATCCATCAGACTTTTTGTGTTGAATGGCCAAAGATTTTTGCCAACAATGCATTATATTCAGTCTCCTTTGCTTAAAAACAAAAACAATGTTATTTTTGTTATTGATATAACACGTGGAATGACAAAAGATGGTTGTAAATGGCCCATTAGACAATCATACTGTATACATGCTCTGATCCTAGAGATTGGGTTGACCGCACATTTTATAGTTATTCATCATTATTTTTTGGAAAAATTACCATTGAATTGTTTTGACGGGCACTTGCTAGTATCATATAATTTATAGTTAAGAACATTAAAACAAATGTTCAAGTGATAGAAACTCTAGTCACAAATGTAATAATTTGATGAAAACATCATTAGCAAAATAACATTTAAATTGAGAATGATTCAAATGGGCATCCTTCCTTATTGCTGTGTCTGCATGTATTAAAAACATGGGCTTTAAATTTATGATTAAAAATAATATTCAAAGTGAGTCAAAAATAGTTTGTTATACAGAGTCAAAGTGAAAATTATTGATAATAACAATACAATGTAAAAATAAAACATGGGAAAAAAAATTATATAAAAGAATAAAATAGAACAGATATTCCTCCACATCAAAAATGCTGCAAAGTCATGATATTTCCATGGATTTGTAATAATTATAGTAATATCATGACTACAGAATTGAAAACTTTGCTGCAATATTTTTGGTTGAAAACATAGGTTTACTTTCAATTTATAATGTTTTTAGGTTTTTTGGCCTATTTTGAGCAAAAATAATAAAAATAAGGTGTTTACAGGTTTCACTGGGAGACATACAATTCTCTGTTTTCTTAAAAACCTTGTTATTTAGTAATATTTATATATATTTCACAGTTGTATTTTACTATATATCAATTACTTGTGCAATTACCAAGCTAGACTTTTGTGCTGCATTACATTTTAGCAAAAATGGTGGCCATCAAAATCCATATGATTATGGATGTATTATTTACCATTTTTTAATGGAATTTATTTTGACCTTATGTATGTTTTTAAAGAAAGTTTACAAATACATATGTTATCCTAAAGTGCTTTTTCATCTCACACTCTGGTATTGTAAAATTCTCTACAAAAACAGGGATTTTGATTAGATTTTGAAATATTTTTATTTATAAGAATGATGCTAAAGAATAAAGTATTATTTTCTAGATAAAGTATTTGCTCTTTTTTTTAACCTTAATGTATGTACATATTTCCAATCAGGAAATTAGGTTTTAAAATCTTTCAAGCCTCAAAAAAGATTTTGGGGCTTGAAAAACAACCCTGAATGGTCAGAAACTTTTGCTTCTCTTGTATACCTAATTTTCAAGCACTTAATTTATTCTAAATTTAGGAAAAATACAGTAATAGTTCAGCAAACTTACCTTTTTTTGAATGGTTTCCTGATTTTATCAGTCATTTTTGCCTACAACAGTCAAAATATAAAATCATAAATAATATTCAACGTTAAACTGGTACACAATTAAAAACATTTTACTTAGGCCTATCTATGGCCTTCAAAGAGTTGACAACTCCACGTGTTTCGACTTTACAACATCATCCTCAGGAGTGAATTACATGTAGAGTCGTCAACTTTTTGAAGACCATAGATAGGTCTAAATAAAATGTTTTTAATTGTGTACCAGTTTAACGTTGAATATTATTTATGATTTTAACTTTATACACAAGTGGCAAAATACTATAATTAAGTCAAAATATATTTTAAGATAAAAATTTCACTAAAATAATCAGAAATGGAGCATAAAGAAGTTGCTTAATTCCCTAAATACTCTGACTTAAAAAAGAAAAATGAGTATTCATATGCACTCAGAATTTATCATCAGGGTTTGACACAATTAGTTATTGTTGAATACTAACAAACTTTTAATCTTTCCCACACACTACTATACTGAAGTATTAAAAGTATTTATGTTCATTTTGAATGAAATATATTTCCAAATGCTTACTTTATTCAGTAGTTTATCAATTCCTTTTTTCAATCATAATTTTATTTAAAATTAATTAAAAGATCCATCTGAATAGCAACTGACAAAAAAAATTCTATTTAACTAAGTTAACACAGAGAATCCATAGACTAGAACCCAACTAGTAGTGATTCAAAGAGATTTAATGAATTACAAAAACTAAAGATAAAAATTAATTAAACATCAGCTCCTCTACATACCTAAATACTATATTTTTCGGAATATAAGACGCACCCTTATTTTGAAGACAAAGTTTTTGGGGAAAAAAAAAGCTACAGTCACATTTGAAAGATTTTTATTGAACAAAAATTCAATTTGATACTTTAAAAATTAGTATATATTGTTCTAAACACAAAAGAGCTGAAAACATCAAAATAAGAAAATACCGTAAATCAAAAAAAGGTTTACTGTTATTTAGTTTGGTTCAAATCCTACAAAATCTTCATTGCTTTCACTGTAATTTATTTTTTTATTATTTAGGGAGCGTTATAAATAGTTATGTTTTTAAAAGAAAACAAAACTATTATTGTTATAAATAACACATTCAATTGAACTAAACTATGCATGCCTATTTAAATATAGTTACACATGGCTTGTGTATATCGTATATATACATATATATTAATCATACCTTCAGTGTATAGGACGCAAGCACCCAAAAATAGGGTAACTTTATACTAAAATTTTAACAATATCTAGGATAAAACTTTGGTTTAAATTGGTCCTGAAAAGGTGTTAAACCAGAAAGTGAAATATTACAAATAAAAACTCATATCTATTCATTTAAAATGAGTGTCAAAATAAATAAAATGCTTAATGCTATTAATTTTTTATTTTTTTACAGTTATATAGAGCTAATACATATTTTTAAATAAGTAATATTAACATAAAAAAGTACTTTCACTTTTGGTCATACTGCAACAAATAAGTTCATAGTAAGTGAAGTAAATCAGTACATTTAATACTCTGACAACTACAGGATCTTATACAAATTTTCAAAGAACTTTTACAAATGAAAATATTTTTCACTGTGCATTTAATTGCTAACTCTCACCTTCTTTGAACTTTGTTTATCAGTAGTTGATGGCATAGCAGTTATATTGGAGAAAGGAACATCCATGCTGTACTTGATGGAGTGGAGAAGCTGAACTACCACATTTGATACATTTCTGAAGGACAGCTTTCTACGGGATGAGCTTGCTAAGTGGCACACCTGAAGTGTGTTGAACAGCAGAGGCTGATGGTCAGAGAGAGTTTAGCACAATTACGTCACAACACAACAAGACTGACAGAGAGAGAAACCTAGGTCTGCAAGCAACTTAACAACATTATGCTACATAATTCCACAAAACAAAAGATTTGTTAAAATTATTCAAAGAAAACTAGCTAAGAGAAAAATTTGAAAAACAATAGAGCTACAACAAATCTAATGTAACTAAACAAACATGCAAACTTAAATATGATTTTAGTAATCAACATATGTGATTATGTTTTACTTAATTTCAACAGACAAGCTGAAATAAAGTACAATGCAAACACAAAACAAGCAAAAGATCAAAATACAACTTATAAGATGAGGACAGTGAATGTGACTTAATGAGATAGGTGTCAATGCTATTTTGATCTTTTTGTTTTATAGGATAGAAATTGATATTACTTGTTTGTTTGTTTTTTGAATTTCGCGCAAAGCTACACGAGGGCTATCTGCACTAGCCGTCCCTAATTTAGCAA